AATTAACACAGTAACACAGTATCATGCAGACAGCACACAGATAAGCATTCCGTCATAGATGGAATGAAGTTATGACAGGAAATATAACAAGTTGTTATCTTTTCAGTGCTATGAAAGCTAATGGCTTACATATTTTTACGATGAGTATTTTCCACTTCCAGTAATCAGCAGCGCATTCTCTTAAACACAAAGACTCACCGCAACTGCTTCGATCTTGTAGTCATCGTCACTGCTGGGTTCAGTGAGCTCCAGAAGCACAGGGCAGACCTTTCCCTCCATATCTGCCTTACTCATCAGACCCTGTTCAAGTAGCACTAGCAGAGCAGCCTGGCTCGTCTTTCGCGTAAAGTTGCTGAAGAGTTCTGTATACTCACAGTCGTCTAAATCATCATGACCATCTTCAAAATACAAAGACAGGCCTGAGGGAGGAAACAAACCATAAACTGAAGATCAAAGACCGACAAGTGTCTAGTAGATAAGCTGACAGGTTCAAGCCATGCTGCTGTGACACATGAAGTTCGGCTGTGACTCGCAACCTCACTAGACAACAATTATGGTCTTTTCATTGCAAGAACGTTGAGTGCAAGTGCTGCTTAGGTAGACTGCTCACTAGGTTTTGACACACAGCCTTGGCATGTATCGTAGTGTTAGGCTAGCTTTTATCTCACGTATATGTCAACTCAGGTTTGCCGACATCACATAACCTGTGGCAAGGATGTAATGTCTGTCAAAAAGCTTTTATATCGTAGTGTGCAATAACATACAATCAGTTCTTGAGTTATGACAATTTAGAAATACATTTTAAAAGGTGACCAGTTAACTAAACGTGTTATGCGTTATTGACCCCGGTCAGGTTTGCTAACAAACTGACTGTCAAGCTCTTGTCAGCTCAGCTATGTTATCTTCATTATTTACTTAAATGTACTACATCATTTCCACCCTAAAGTATTTAATACAACATAAATTATTTTGTTGGCCCAAAGTAGTTATTTATCACAGTACTTTTTTAATATCCCAGTCTGTCCTGCTAGCTCCACACAACTCGCAACTAGTGTTAATCCACTTAAAAATTCACCAGGCTCATGACCTTTCGTCCAAAATACATCAGAAAAATTTAAAAGGCATTACGCGTCATGAAAGTCAACAGTGATAACGGAGCCGATTCTCTTTAAACCGCCTCATAAAGCTTTAAATAAATGCACTAAAGCACGTTACCTGCCATCTTGATTTACAGCGGGGCTGCTGTCACTCCACTTCCTCAAAAGATTTCCTGCTCTTATTTCAATCCCGGCATTTATATGAATATCAAATACTTAAAAAACAAACATAAACTCATCGAAACAAAACACTTTTACGCGTGGAAATACCGCAAATATTCGTTTCGCTCAACCGAACACTCGATGAGAAAAAAATAAGACAATGTCGATCACGTGACTAGTCTAGCGACGTCCGATTCGTGAATGAATTGTTTATGTAGAGTCGGATCTTTTCAGTGAATCAATAGAACCGGTTCATAAAACTGGACTGAATGATTCTTTCACGAACAGCCACGCTTTGAACTTAGTGTTGTTTAATGTAAATGCAAATGTTGGTTATAAACTGTTTTTATGAGCTGAATCAGGATTGCCACTTTTTAAAAATTATTATTATTTCCATTATTCTCAGTGGTAATTCTCTTATTATCATATAATTTATTTAAAATTAATCATATTACTATATCATGTATTAAAAATTTTAAAATTGCATTCTTTGCATTATAATACTAATTATTTGCGGGGTGAATGTGCTTAATTTGTATTATTCATATATTCACCTTAATAATGGAGAGATATTTTAATCTTTAAGTTGCTGAAGTGTTAAAAAAATTAAATGAAATTACAATAACACTTTGGATAATAATAAACATAATAAACAGCCTTATGTGCTTTATTTTTATGCTTGTTATTTGTTAGGAACCACGAGATGACGTAATTAGTAACTTTGCTGAAACGATGAAACGAACTGTTCGAAAGAACCGATTCGCATGAATGACTTCCCATAACTAGACTCGTCAACCGGAGTTCAAGATGGCGATCAGCGAGCAGCTAATATCGCAACTAATCGACCATTAATATAACATCTAAGTGATACTATTATAAGCTATACGCGTTATGTCAGTATTTCAAAACAGCTTCTTATACCGTCCTAAAGCAGTGGATATCTGACACTATAGTGTCTAGAGAGATTGTGTGTGTTGTTGTTTTTTAGCTTACGTCAAATAGAAATAGTTGCTGATCAGCTTTATGAAACTGTTTGGAATGATTGAGAAGTTTTCATTATTTTGGAGGTCAACATGTCGCTAAGAGAGTTGAAAGTATGCCTTCTTGGGGTAAGATTTCTATTCGCTTTTTATGACTTGATGTGGATTGCGGTTTGGGTGCGTATTTAATGTTTTATCACGATGTTAATGCTCTGTCATAAATGTTATTGCATGCTATAAATAGAAATAAAGTGTGCCAGTGGTTTTACCTATTGTGCAAACTTTGATGGTCTCTTAATCGTTACAGTAATATTTCTGGGCTGGTGACGTATTTAACCACCCATTCAGATGTGGATGATAAATGTCTAGAGAGTTTGAGAAGTTACATTTTGTTCAGTACATACAAGGTGTTCCACCGTGTCTTTAGTCAACATGGTCACCAGCTTGCACATGATCTGCAACAAAACATTATTCACCATCAACACAGAGATAAAAACATGACCCACAAAACAATTAACACAGTAACACAGTATCATGCAGACAGCACACAGATAAGCATTCCGTCATAGATGGAATGAAGTTATGACAGGAAATATAACAAGTTGTTATCTTTTCAGTGCTATGAAAGCTAATGGCTTACATATTTTTACGATGAGTATTTTCCACTTCCAGTAATCAGCAGCGCATTCTCTTAAACACAAAGACTCACCGCAACTGCTTCGATCTTGTAGTCATCGTCACTGCTGGGTTCAGTGAGCTCCAGAAGCACAGGGCAGACCTTTCCCTCCATATCTGCCTTACTCATCAGACCCTGTTCAAGTAGCACTAGCAGAGCAGCCTGGCTCGTCTTTCGCACCTACAGGAAAAAGCATAGACAAAATTGACTCAGTGGGTTATCTGAACGACTAAATTATTAGTTGGTGTTTAAGAAACCCTGAATAAGGCTTCAGGATCAATACAACACCTAATACTGATCATATGCATTTCTTAAGTATGGACGCCAAACATGGAAGTGACATATTTATCAAACCAATAGGCTAAACAACAAATACTACACAAAATTATCATAGTCTTCACTGAAAAACGGAAGCCTAATGACTATGCATAATAATGGGACCATTACTCAAGCAATCTGATAATTGTTGTGAAACTTACTGTGACTATTACAAAAGAGCTTTTTAGATGGCTCTGTGAGTATTACAGAATAAACGATAAAATGGTATGAATTTAGAGATGCAACAGTGAAAGTAAAAGTTAAAGCACAGCATGCAGTCAGCAACCAAAACCTTCTCTGGCAAGTTGAAAAATTTTCCCCTAAGCAGTTCCAATAAAAAATATTGAATCTTATTTTCTCTTTCTTTCTCTCTATAATTAAATAATATATTTCTAATTATAATTAAATAATTAAAATTATTTGAAATTCTTTTAAATGTTAAAAAATAAATATAAAACAATCAATATTATACATTTAAACATATTTTTTTTTGTTATTCATTTATTTACTAGTGCTAGTAGGTTATTGGCTGACTAGTTTAACTCCTTTAAACTCATCCCGACTCAAAAATATTTGTCATCATTACCTATTCAGATAAACGATTCAAAGAACAGGCAGTTTTTCAAAGTATAACTCACCTGGTTATTAGGGTCTGTGAGATACCGGACCACAATGGGTACCAGATACCGTGAGAAGGCTTCAGGGAAATTGGGCCGATTTTCATGAAGGAACATGGCAATGTTTGGTACCTGTTCCATCAGCTCTGCTCGCACTGTCGGTTCTGTAACATCACGTTACATTCACAATATTACGTACAGTTTAGCCATTCTGAACAAGTCAAATACAGTCAAAAGTCATACAAACCTCCATCCTCAGACATTCTGGCAACTGTTTCCATGACGCTGATGAAGTCATTTTCATTATCGCTGAACTCCCGGAGCACATCCAGCAATCCACGAGCCACAATTTGCCTGAAAATAAACATCAAACGTATCAAGCACACCATAACAGTCCACAGCACATGGGCCTTTGCAATTTAGATGCACAAAACTATTTGAAAAAAAAAATAAAAGTTTAAAAAAAAAAATACTTTAACACAATTTTTCCAGATTAATGTTTATAATGTTTCCAAGCCAAAATATCAGAAATCACCCAAGAAACGTTCAGTCTAAGCCAAGTTCTTCTACGATGACAAGTTTGGCTCCTTACTAAGTATTTCTGGTCCAACATCATATCAGGTTCGCTTTAAGCCCTTAAAACTTTTAAAATTATGTTCCACCATTGTGCCATAAAAAAAGTGATCCTCATATTTTTTGTATCAAATCTCACTTATTTTCGAGTGATAGTTACAAGATGGACATATAAAATCTTATACTACTCCTAAGAAACACTGAGTATTGCATTTCAGGAAAAAAAAAAAACAGCCTGAAATCCATCTCACATACCATGTCTGATAGTTACTCGTTTTATACTGCAGACCACACGCTTTACATCTCACCTGTTGAAGACGTTTTCACTGAAAGCATATTTCTCCAGCCGGCCCAGAGGGGTGAGATTATCCTGGCCTGCATCCAGGAATGCTGTTATCCGAATCCCATCACACTCTGAACCATAGTCATCGAATCCAACTGCAAGACAGATTCATATGGACAGTTAATGACAAAGCAAAGATAAGTTCAAGCAAAGATAGAAATAGTTGCTGATCAGCGGTATGAAACTGTTTGGAATGATTGAGAAGTTTTCATTATTTTGGAGATCAACGTGTCGATAAGAGAGTTGAAAGTATGCCTTCTTGGGGTAAGATTTCTATTCGCTTTTTATGACTTGACATGGATTGCGGTTTGGGTGCGTATTTAATGTTTTATCACGATGTTAATGCTCTGTCATAAATGTTATTGCATGCTATAAATAGCAATAAAGTGTGCCAGTGGTTTTACCTATTGTGCAAGCTTTGATAATCTCTTTTAAAATGTTACAGTAATATTTCTGGGCTGGTGACGTATTTAACCACCCATTCAGATGTGGATGATAAATGTCTAGAGAGTTTGAGAAGTTACATTTTGTTCAGTACATACATTGGATATATTTATATAGGACAGGTAGTGTTGTCAAATCAAATCTTCTGGCATAAGGATTTCATATGGCACAATTTGACATTTTATTCCTAA